CTATCACTACAGTCCCTAATGAAGAGTCCATCCCCAGGATCCCTATAGGCCCCCTTCAGATACTGGCAGGCTGTTATGAGGTCTCCACGCAACCTTCTCTTCTCCAGGCTGAACAGCCCCAATTTTCTCAGCCTATCATCATACAGGAGGTGTTCCAGTTCCCTGATCATAGAATAGTTAGGGTTGGAAAGGACCTTAAGATCATCAAGTTCCAACCCCCCTGCCATGGGCAGGAACACCTCGCTCTAAACTATATCATCCAAGGACTCGTCCAACCTGGCCTTGAACACTGCCAGGGATGAAGCATTCACAACCTCCTTGGGCAACCTATTCCAGTGCCTCACCACCCTCACAGTCAAGAATTTCTTCCTTATATCCAATCTAAACTTCCCCTGTTTAAGTTTTAACCCATTACCCCTTGTCCTATCACTACAGTCCCTAATGAAGAGTCCATCCCCAGCATCCCTATAGGCCCCCTTCAGATACTGGCAGGCTGTTATGAGGTCTCCACGCAACCTTCTCTTCTCCAGGCTGAACAGCCCCAATTTTCTCAGCCTATCATCATACAGGAGGTGTTCCAGTTCCCTGATCATAGAATAGTTAGGGTTGGAAAGGACCTTAAGATCATCAAGTTCCAACCCCCCTGCCATGGGCAGGAACACCTCGCTCTAAACCATATCATCCAAGGACTCGTCCAACCTGGCCTTGAACACTGCCAGGGATGAAGCATTCACAAACTCCTTGGGCAACCTATTCCAGTGCCTCACCACCCTCACAGTCAAGAACTTCTTCCTTTTATCCAATCTAAACTTCCCCTGTTTAAGTTTTAACCCATTACCCCCTGTCCTATCACTACAGTCCCTAATGAAGAGTCCCTCTCCAGCATCCCTATAGGCCCCCTTCAGATACTGGAAGGCTGCTATGAGGTCTCCACGCAGCCTTCTCTTCTCCAGGCTGAACAGCCCCAACTTTCTCAGCCTATCTTCATACGGGAGTGCTCCAGTCCCCTGATAATCCTCGTGGCCCTCCTCTGCACTTGTTCCAACAGTTCCATGTTCTTTTTATGTTGAAGACACCAGAACACAAGTTGTGTTGTACACAAGTGAGGTCTCACAAGAGCAAAGTAGAGGGGCAGGATCACCTCCTTCGACCTGCTGGTCACACTCCTTTTGATGCAGCCCAGGATACGGTTGGCTTTCTGGGCTGCTCACGTTCATTTTCTCATCAACCAACACCCCCCAAGTCCTTCTCCACAGGGCTGCTCTGAATCTCTTCTCTGCCCAGCCTGTAGCTTCAGCAAAGTTAAAAACTTTAAAAATTAAGTTTTAGATTAAATTATACACATCAGGCTGTATCTTGCCACCTGATTCATAGCAAAAGACACTCTTTGAAGAAGAAAAACTTTTCAAGTCTATCAGAAGTCAAGGAGTAAACAGAATGCTTCAAGACACATATAAAGCTACTCTTCCTCAGCTTTTTGTCGGGATCATGACTGCTCACTACTGATGCGAAGGGTTAACCGATGTACAGGAGGGTTAGGGTTAAGCTGGTTGCTTAACAATGTCACTGCTTACTCTACAAATGTGTGCTCCACACTTATTGTGCTTGCCAGAACAGGGTGGGAGGATCAAGGCTATCGATAAGAGGAAGGAACAGTAACTCCTGTTCTCTGGACCCCTAAACTGGCTGAAATCAGCTTTGTGGTTTGGACAGTGACTAAATGACCAGGGAACATGCGTAACGACTAGAGATGAAAAGTTCAGGGAAGACTCGTTTACTTCATCTTGACACTCGCGCATGTCCACCAGAAGACACTATGCAAGCAAGGACCTTTTACCTCATTATAATATGAAGCAGGGATAGGTCATGAATATGTATAGGTGTGTTGCATAACCTCGTTAATATGTAACAATTTAGAGGATAAATATGAAGGAGAACAACGCTGAGGTGCACATGCCTTTGGAGAAGCAATCCCCCATGTGCCTCAGAACTGAATAAAATATACCTACTTTACAACTTTAACGAGTTGTGGAGTCTACCCGCATATCAATTTGAAGAGCCAGCCAGGAGATGTCTGCTCAGCTGCAGGATCGGCTGAGGGGTGGACATCCTGGACACCCCAGGCCATTTGCCTGGAAGACCTCTGCTTCTCGTCCGCTCACTGCGGGGGCAGACAACAACCTGTGCTGGCTGCGGAAAAGGTATGCTTGTAATTTAGGAGAGCCTATAAGTCGTACACTCGGCTGGGGCTGCTAGTAAGCCGTGCAGAGATGTCTGGTGCACAGCATAGTTCCCCTTGGCAGGTAAGGCTTGCAAGCAGTAGGCTGGGGACTCGTCGACCGATAGAGCGGCCGCTAGGGATCCTGAGGGTGGATCGGGTGAGTCCAAGGACCTGTCAGCCGATAGAGTGGCTGTGAAACAGGCAAGTCCAGGGCTGGGGACTCGTCGACCAATAGAGCAGCCGCTAGCGATCCTGGGGGTGGATCAGGTAAGTCCAAGGACTCGTCGGCTGACAGAGCGGCCATGGACCAGGTGAGTCCAGGGTTTCTGCTGCATCCCAGGTTTTGGGAGCCAGTATGGACCTGCTAATGACTGTGTAGGAAGCAGAAGGGTAAGCGGAACCACTGTGTGGAGTGTGTCTGTGGGATCCCATGTGGGGTTAAAAGTGTTCTGTGTGGCTGAGATGTGGCATAGCTATGAAGCGAGTGTGGAGTCCTGATCCGCGGTTCCATGTTCTCCATGAGGAGAGCGGCCCGAGACAGACAAAGAGTATTTGTTTTGTGTTGTGTCTAAGTGTTTTGTGAGACTGAGATGTGGCATAGCTACAAAGCTATTTGTCTTGTATTGTATCTATTTGTTCTTGTGTATATGTCTCTCCTTAATGTTAAAGATTACTGTGTTTAAGCAGTAGGGGAGAAGCAGACAAAAGTAAACCGTGGCTAATTCGGGGGTTAAGAAGAGTTCCCTCGCTGCGCCCTAGTGGCTGTATAAGAGAAGGCCTAAAAATGGAACTCTGAACTATAACACATTGTTACAATGAATGTTGTTTTGAGGCAGCAAGGAAAATCGGAGGAAATAATGTATGCAGATATGTTTTTCACTTTAAGAAACCACCTGGAGTGACAGACTGAATGCAAAATTAATATAGCTCTCTGCCAGATTCCTTAATTTTGGCTTTGGAAAAGGACAGAGAAAAACTGAAAGCTAAGATGGAGAATGATGCTTAAAGTCAAAAAAAAAAAAAACAAAAACCAGTAATCAGGAAGATAGGTAGGAAAATCATGTATCACAAGTACCTCTGAGAGGAGCACCTTCTGTATCTGTCCTATCAGATATTGATAAGGAGGAGGAGATTGCTGTCACTGGCAACAAGCAGCAGATTCACAATCAGAGTTAAGAAAGGGTTAAAACAGAAGTGCTGTTGCAGAGGCAGGCATCTGCAACCCCTGCAGAGCAGGGTGAGCAGCTGTGAGAGAGAAGAAGAAAAAAAAAGAAAAAAAGAAAAGGAAAACCAAGGGGGAAAGGAGGGGAGCTCCCACCGCTCCTGTGTTTGAGCATGGGATGGGTGCTGGGGCAGGCAAACAAGTGGGAACAGACATGTTGACAGACGGGACTGAGTGGTTGTTGAATAAACGTGGATGGGAGTGAAGGAGGAAGCATGGAGAGCATATAGGAATCGGGGACAGGTAGAAAAGAAAAAGCTGGGTCGGCTACGGTGGTTGCTTTGAAACTGGTGGAGGAAGAATGTCAGGCAGAGGTGGGGGAGTGGGCTCTTCTGTGGAACCGGATCAGTGTGCAGTTTGGACGCTGGAAGTGAGACTGCCCTGGGGAGGGAAGTGCCATGGGATGGCTCCGGTGACTGAACTGGAACTAGACTGATGGGGACCGGGGGAATCTTCCCTAGCAGATCCACTGGCTATAACGAAGCTAGGGGACAAAGAAAAGAAAGTGGAATTTTTAGTTGATATGGGCCCAACATATTCAGTTTTAAACAAATCTTTAATGCCTTTGGGGGATGATTATATTATGGTAAAAGGGGCGACTGGCCAAAGTGAAAAGGCTTATTTTTCTAAACCACTGAAATATCAATTGGGAAAGCAAAGGGGTATTCATAAATTCTTATATATGCCTAACTCCCCAAAAGCTCTCCTAGGGAGAGACTTACTGGAACATTTGGGTGCAACTATTACTTTCAAAGGAGTCAAGATCACTTTAGAAGTAAATGACCAACAGTATATAGAGATTTTTAGTTCTGATCACTAATCACGCTGAGGAAGAAGTCCAGGAAGATATTCCTGTCAGGTATTCCCAGGAGTATGGGTGACAAATATACCTGGAAAAGCCAAAAATGCACCCCCGATACAGATTAAGCTCAAGGAGGGAAAGCAGCCAGTCGGGATTAAACAATACCCCCTGAAAAAGGAAGATAGGGAAGGAATTTGCCCAATGACTGAAAATTTCCTACAGCTAGGACTGCTAAAAGAGTGCCAATTTGATTTTAACATCCCTATTTTGCCTGTTCGTAAACCTGATGGGTCATACCGGGTGGTACAGGATTTACAGGCTGTTAACAAAATAACAGAGAATCTTTACCCTATAGTAGCAAGTCCATACACTTTGCTAACATGCTTAACACCAAAGCTAACTTGTTTTACCGTTCTAGACTTGAAGGATGCTTTCTTTTGCCTCCCTCTCCACGAAGTCAGCCAAAATAACTTCTACCGTGGCTGCTGCTCTCACCCTAGAACAGAACAAGTAACTCGCCACACAACAGTCGCAATTATATTGCATTAGCAACCGCCCGTTCCATACCAATTACACCCTCATTAACGGCAGCCTTTTTGTCACACATCGTGCGTCAAACAGGTGCCTCTTCTTTTGTTTCCATCTCGTCGAGCAAACAACTTCAAGGGATAAAATCAACCTCGGCAACAAAAAAAAAAAAAAAAACAAAAAAAAAAGAGAAAAGGCTATCCTGATTCCAGATGCGATTCACTTACCGGGCGGGATGGTGAAACCGGGCTGCAGCTGGATGGTGGTCTGCTGTGGCGGCCTCACGATCAGCTGCGGGGCCACGATTCTGGAGCTAGCGCCTAGCGCCAGACGGGGTGATAGGGCCTGGGGGGCGGTTGAAGGGGCAGCGCTAACCGCTAGCTTGGGCGCGGCGGGGCCCGGCGGAGTGCAGTTGGCAGTCGAGCCCTGCCCCGGTGGGGTGGCAGGCACGGGGCTAGTTGAGGTACCGAGTGCGTTTACTGCGGAGAGCGGGCCGTGCGCGAGCTTGGTCTGTGACGTAGCGGCATCGCCTCTGCCGTGGCTGCTGGCTAATGGGACTGCCGCCGGCTGGCCCCAGGCACCCTCCCCGTTGGGCGCCGCCTTGCCGGGGAGTGACGTGGTGGCGGCAGAAGCAGTCTCCGCCGCTCCCTCCGGCCCACCGCCCCCCGCCGAGGTCCCGCTACCCTCCGCGGTCTCATTGCGCTGCAGAGGCAGTACCCCGCTGTTGGCGGCGGGCGGATTGCCGATGGGGCTCCCCGTGTCCCGGGCAGCAGCGCCGACAGCCACGTGGTTGTTCACAGACTGGGCAGAGACGCTAGCAGGCGGGGGAGCAGCGGGCTGTGGCGGTGCAAGGGCGGCGAGCGCTCTGGGGTTGTCGCCGCCGCTGCTGAGAGCCGCTCCATGTGATTGCTGCACACTACTACTATTTACACTCACTCCCCTCCCTGCCACCGCCACTACCGCCACCGAGGGGAACGGGAGCTGCCCCTGAACAGGGGCTCGGCTCTCCGCGACTCCGGGGCACCCCACCGCCGCCTCCTCTGCTCCGGGAGTGGAAGAAGGCACAGGATGTCCTTGCTGCTGTCGAACGGGGCTACTGCCCCCTACTAGGCTCCCCTGGTGGTGCTGCTGCTGTTGGGACGGGGCGAAGGTCCTGTGCTGAGGCGCCTCGACGGAATTTTTTCTGCCTGTCAGCTGCGATTCTAAAGAGCCCACCAGATCACTGATCACCTTCTCATCCACTTCCTCAGTGAAGAGCAGCATCTCTTCCAAGGGGTCCGAGGAGCCCGTCGCCATCTTGCGTAGAGCTGAAAACCGGCCACACACCACGCAAGCGCACTAACGTCTACCGCACGCGAGGCATACTGGGGGAAACCAGCTTCCTCTTCTTCTCGTTCCTCCTCTCCTCTTTTCGCGGCACGATGAGATCTGTATATTTTCTAAGGAGTGGTGTCAGCGAAAGTATAGTCGGCTTTGTCTTGGTCGCTGTGGGAAGCGATAGTGTGCTCGGGCAAGTGCCTTAGTGACGCGGATGGGTGGTGTGTGTGAGAGCCGGACGTTATTTGTGTCTGTAGGAACTTCTGGAAGGGAGGTTTGAGGCTTGGAGGAGACCTGCCGCCCTGGTGAAGAGGGGTGTGAGGTATATAGGAATGATTCGTGTCAGAAACTTAGGAGTCCTTGTCATCATTGCACTTTGGGAGGAATCGAAAATCATGTGTAGAATGTATACGAATGATCAGATTAAGATGGAAGTTCCTGTAAATACAATGATGAAAAGAAGAGAAGGAACAAAGGAATAATCCTTCCTAATGAAAGTCTTTGTTACTTTAAGGGGTACTTTGTTTAACTACTTGAATGTCTCAAATGCTTTGCTAACTACAGAGGGTGTTTTGTTTAACTGCTTGAATACCTTAAGGGGGTTAGGTAATCAAGGGATACATTCTGTTACGGGATGAGGTGGAACTTGTGTATTCAATATGTAACTATATAAGAAATGGAATTGAGGGGGCTAAGATAGTGGTTAAGCTTGTGACAGACATTCCCTGTTAATGTATTGCCAAGGAATTCAATGACTTTTTAAGAAGTTTCATCACCCAAAGATAAGATCCCAGCAACAGGAGGAGAACAATGAAAAAGAATCACATCGGTATTTGGGTGAAGGAGACGACAGGATTGGCTGAAACCCAAGACCGAGGAGTATAAGAGACTGTACCCCAGAACTCTCGGTGTGCGTCTTGGGTGGAGTGGAGACTCCCCGGCGCACCCAGCGCTGCTTGCTTATTGCCTCTCGAAATTAATCAATTGTAATAAAAAATTAATTAAATCAGATCATGGCCAAGACGAAATTTTTATAAAAGGGGTATGAGTTTGCACGTTAGAAATTGAAATGTCACGCACTCATATCATCTTTTGGTAGAGAAGCTGTCATAATTACGTTCTTTGCCTTCACTTCATACCCTGTGAGGATAGTTGCAGCAAGGATAATTTTCTTCACGCTTAGGAAGAACTGAAAGCATACATGTAGTCAGCTGTAGGGGCTCAGGTGCCTGAAACAAACTCCTTCAAAGGCGGTAACTGCATGGGCTGTTGAAGCTGTTTGAAATCCTTAAGAGCACACAGAGTATGTTCAATGCTAATTTCACCTCGACAAGAATGGTTGCAATAATACAATTTCTAATGTGGATGCTATTAACAGAAGACTTGTAAACAAAAAATAAGATTCTTTACATCATCACAGCAGTTGTTTTGGTCTACTGTATTTCCTCAGCATCCCCACAAGAAATTTGAGGTAGTTAATTTTGATACTAATACTTTTGCCATTGCACTCCTATATACCCTTTTCCTATCAGTTTGCCTCATGCATTCAGAAATACCATTTGAGAGAAAGATGGCGGTACCAAATCATAATTTCTTTGTTAGGACAAAATGGTTCAGACAAATACCCATTTAACATATCAATCCTGCTACAATAATACAAAACTACTACTACTCTCCTGGGTTCAGCAGTAGCAGTCACTTTTCTCCTTAGTAGCTGGTGGTGCTGTGGTTTTGACTTTCAGCCTGAGAAAAATGCTGATCACACCGATGTTTTGAGTTGTTGCTAAGTAATGCTTACTCTGACCAAGGACTTTCTGAGTCTCATGCTCTGCCAGTGAGGAGGAGCATGGGAAGCTGGGAGGAAGTAGAGATGGCACACCTGAGCCAAACTAGCCAAAGGGGTATTCCATACCACAGCACATCATGCCCAGTATATAAATTGGTGGGAGTTACCCAGAAGGTGGAGATTGCTGCTTGGGTCAGGCTAGGAATTGGCTGGTGAGCAACTGTATTCTCTTCCCTTGTTATTTCCCTTATTATTATTGGTAGTAGCAGTAGTGGTTTTGTATTATACCTGAGTTACTGGACTGTTCTGATTTCAACCCATGGGAGTTACATTTTTTCAGTTCTCCTCCCCATCCCTCTGGGAGTGGGGGGAGGAAGAAGGGGGAAGTGAGCAAGCGACTGCATGGTTCCAAGTTACCAGCTGGGCTTAAACCATAACAAGTGCTGCTAAGGGAAATAACAAGGAAAGATAATATAAAACTAAAAAGGGAAGGGAGGGAAAACCCCAATAAACACAAGTGATTGTAATGGGTGAGAACCTAGCTTAGAGTTGATTCCCTCTCATGAGAGGCACAACAAAGTATGCCTTTTGTCACAGTGTATTCAGTAGAGTATATATAGTTACATTCCTTGTGACTGTTTGTTGGAAAGAGACAGGTGTGCATCTGTTCTATGACCTTTATATTTGGCTGCACTGGGGTGCCTGGCCATTGCTCTCAGCGTGGATAACAGTGACATCATGAGAAAATGCCTGGCCCCATGAGTAAATAATTAGAGATCCGGCATAGAACCAGTTGTTTTTCTAAGGGTATAAAAGCAGGACCCTCTTGTGGCCATTAGAGAAGCCATCACCTATGGGTAGATGCACCACATACTAATTTTCCCAATTACCTGACACTCCTGGCATCAGCTGCAAAGGGACTTCCCTACTGGATGTGTGGGCCTAGATGATGGTAATTGGGGATATATTTCTTCTTAATCACTGTTCTCTCTATGCAGTAATGATTTGATGCATTGATAACTTTCTACAGTACTTGTATACCTCCATCTCCGATTTGCTTTATTGCACTTATTCACTATAGATAAATTTACCTAATTCACATTAGTGTGCTTTTTTAATAAACTCTGCATATTATACAGCTAATGCATGGTCATTTTGTGGCATACTCTGCATGTCAGCAGAACAGTGATGCAAAATAAAATTGCTTACCACCCATGGACCATTAGCCAGTCCCATCCAAGTAGGAATCTTCCCTTCTAGGTAACCCCCCCAGTTTATATACTGGGCATGATGTGCTGTGGTATGGAATACCCCTTTGGCTAGTTTAGGTCAGGTGTGCTATCTCTGCTTCCTCCCGGCTTCTTGTGCCCCTCCTCACTGGCAGAGCATAAGACTAAAAAGTCATTGGTCTGAGTAACTGTTACTTAGCAACAACTCAAACACTGGTGTGTTATCAGCATTGTTCTCAGACTAAAGCCAAAACACAGTACTGTACCAGTTACAGTTGAACCCAGGACAAGGGCTCACAGTGTATGAGTGTGCAACTCTTCTTCAGTCCCAGACTCAATCTTTTAAGTCAGACATTGTATGACTTGTCAAGTCACTAAACTGCTAATAACTGATTTATTACCATCTATTTCCTCTCACTGTATGTTACATTTTTATTTGGGCTAATTTTTCCTGATTATCTGTTTATACCTTTAGAAGCAGGTTTATGAATCAAAATAAACTGCTTTTAAAAGGCAATAAAAATAGGCTGCCCCAGTTAATTATGTTTACAAGTCTCTTGAAATTAAACCAGTACATATTTCTTAAATAAAATGGCCAGTAGAAGTACTGAAAGCGCAAAGGTGTGGTCAGGATATATAAGCAGGAGAAAGTGCAGTAAGTGACTGTGAAAGCACAGTAGTGCTTATGAAAAATGGTATTAAGTATACACAGGAGATCTAGAAATCAAAAAATTGCTTAGGAAATGAGTATTTTATTTTTTTCTTTTATAGAACAATATAGCTGAATGAAATTTGGACTTTTAAAAATGTTTCTTGTCGACGCGGGAGTCACAAACAACGCAGGAACGATCAGTGTGATCAGCCAATGCCAATTTATTACAAAGCTTTAACTCCTTACATACCATTTCCTACAGGCATTTACAGTGATTTGGCATATTATGATTGGATGCATGTCTTGAAGACCCTTAGTGAGACTAACACACAATTGGTTAAGCACAGGTGTGAGAACTTGACCTCAAAAGCTTGCCAACAGTCCACAGTTCTCATTAACTCAGTGAATTACAGCTTCTTCTTATCTTCCTTGCTTAAGCTTCCTCGGGCCTCCCACGGCCTTGCTGTATCTTTCAGGATTATTCAGTTTATGTACCAATTATGCGTTCTCCTGTGAGAACACTGTCTCCACATCTCCCCCTTTTTGTTTTATGTATCTTTTGGATGACCCTACTTGAGCAGGGGATTTGGGCTAGATCATATTTTCAACATATGCCAACTACAGGCTGCTGGGCCTGCCCCTTTTTTCTGCTGTATGTCTCTCTGGTAACAGGGGAGGCCATCCTTCACATCAAGGTCTGGCATGGCATGTGTCCCCACCGCTCCACGCCTGCTGGGTTGCAGCCAGCAGTGGAGCTAAAGGTTCTTCTTGGTGGCAAACACAGAGGCCAACCCAGTCTTGCCCTTGATTGTGGTAGCAGGCATTTGGTCAGCCTCAGTCCTTGCACCTTGTTGTCAATGCAGTTTCACCTGCTTCATCCAGTAACAAGTTGTTATCATGGCAAGGCACACACACAGATTTACATTAGCAGAGTAACTATTACAGGGTGCAGCAGCATGTTGAAGATGCTGATGCCAGCAAGGGACTAGCCAAAGAAATTTCTTACCAGTGGAATTCTCCCACCCTCTTAATTTGCTCCATTACCTGCTTTATAACACTACCATTGTATTAGAATATTCCTATCTTTTGCTTTAGCATTTTCTAGCAGCTACTACAAATTTGCATACTCTAACATCTCTTTTACAAGTGACAAATCCATATAATACAAGGTGTAGTTTCTTATCAGCAACTGGCTAGTAAATACAGGTGGTTTCATACACAAAATCAAAGCCTCTAACAATAGCTACTTTACAAGCACACATATTCAAGCTGTTACTTTTCCGTTGCCCTCAAATGATGTTTAGCAATCATTGGTTTTTCTCTTCCTCTATCTCATTCTGCTTGGGGTATTCACGATCAGCTCCTGTAGCTGAAGCATCAGGTTTCTCCATTCGTCTGTCCAGATCATGGCAAGGC